GCAAAATAAACTGATGAACAGAGTGGATTCAGAGACATGGAAGCCTGGAAGAGAGTGGGGAATCTCGGAGGGAAGGCAGGGGAGGGTGGGTGGGTGGGAAGCAATCAACCAGGAACCTTGTATGCATGTATGCATGGCCCATGGCCACAGACAATGGGGGGATGAGAGGGGGCGGGGCGGGGTGGGCTAGAAAGTGTCAATGGGGGAAAGTGGGGGACATATGTAATACTTTCAACAACAAAAAATTATTTTAAAAAAAAGAGAGAGAGAAGTACAGATTGGTAGTTACAAAATAGTCACGGGGCGTAAGTCCAGCATAGAATATAGTCAGTAAAATTGTAATAACTATGAATGGTGCCAGGTGGGGACTAGAAATACCAAGGGGAGCACTTCGTAAAGTATATGATGGTCTAATCATTATGCTGTACACCTGAAACTAACAAATACAAAATAATGTTGAATGTAAACAGTAAATAAGTAATAAGTAAATGAAAGTTCCACACGTGTTCTAATGGTTAAGAAAAAAGCAAAACCCTGATGCCTTGGGCTCAGGCCTTTGGCTGGAGCGACAGGGCCTGGCGTGAGGGCTGCTGCCCCCAGTCCCCAGGGCTCCCGGCTGGAACCTGGAACCAGGGCTGTCTGCGGTGCAATTGCTCCGAGGCAGTGGGAGGACACACGATTTGCTTCTAGTTCCAATAACCTGCAAGCCTGGGCCCCAAATCCTGACACACATGACACTAAATGCTCTACCCTCTTCCAGGAGGACCTGCCACCCTTCCCTTTGCCAAGCCCCTGGAGCAGGCTGGCACCTCCCTGGCCCCCACCCCTGCCACACACTTTTCTGCCTCCACACTTTTGCCCATGCTGTTCCTCCTTCCACGAATGCCCACTTCTCCTCTCAGCCAAGGCCCACTCCATGTTCAAGACCCAGCTCAAGGTTCCGTCTGTGAAATCCTCCCGGCTCTTCATCATTGATACATATGGACGATGACCTGTCTCCGCTATTGATGCTGCAGGTAAACCTGGGAGTCCTCGGTGTTGTTAGTGAACCGAATTTGCAGTCACACCTGGCATGCCCCTTATGGGGTGCTGACACCGTTGTTTGTACAGTAATGACATAGACACAAACCAGTATTCCTACCTGGACTAGCCACTCGTGGCGCCAAAAAAAGGACTGCCCCTGCCGAGGGGTGGGACCAGTCGCCACCACCCCTCCATGTACATCACTGTGTTTTTATGGGAGACACTGCGGGGTCAGGTTTACATTTCCCTGTGTCCTTCGCACTAACCTCTACTTGGTGGTCCGTGTAACGACTTTTGCAGGAGACAGAAATCTAATAGACAAGCAGAGGGAGATGAAAAGGTGTAAAGAAGTATGGGCGGTGCTGGTGGAGGCTGACGCGAGGGATGAAAAGATCCTGTGCCTGCCTTGGAGGGTCCCACCATCTGGCAGGGAGACAGTCACAGAGACACTTTGTTCCAGAGAAAGGACGCCCGGGGGGAGGGAGGTGGGGCCAGCTGGCCTCGGCTGGAGCCCAGCTCAGTCACTCTTCCAACAGTCTGGCACATTCCGGCTCTTGGGCCTCTTTTCTCTACAATCTGCTGCAAACCGGCACCTGGCCGGAGCCCCACCTCAGACAGGCACGTCACAGGCCAGCTGAGGGCAACCTTCCCCCAGCCAGCTGTGGCTCCTGTCACCATGAGGGCGAGCGCTGAGCAGACAGCACAGGCGGGTGTGGCTGAGAGTCTGCAGGAGGCTCCGGGGGAAGAACAGGAGCTTTGGGGTCACTCACCAGAAATGTGAACCCAACCAAGGCTCTCCCCATCTGAGTCGCGGTGACCCGACCTGTAAAATGGGGAGAGCACCCCCCTCCCTGGCAGGGTTTTCCTGAGAATGAAATCGGAGAACGTACTCAGAACACCCAGCATGGCTCCTGATTCACTACGGGTGTCACATGTTTCTCTAACTTATTAAAGCTTCCCCAGGCTCCTCCAAGGCCCAGATGAGATGTTTCACGAAACCCCCTCCCCCTGCTTCTGCTCTCCGCAGGCAGTGCCTGTGGGCGACCCCCTCCTTCTCTGTGCTTTGACTTAGCACCACGGCTCGTCACTTCCTCTGGAAAGTCTACCTTCACTCAGGCACACATGCTCCCTCAACGCTGATAACCTGCGTGATCCTGCACACCCGTGTTCGTGGCAGCCTTTGCAGGGCATGGACCAGGTCCCCTGCATCTCCACGTAACACACCACAGACAGCCTGGTCTCCTGGGTTCCAGCCGGGAGCCCCTGGGGACTGAAGAGCCGCAGCCCTCACACCAGGCTCTTTGGCTTCAGCCAGACGGCCTGAGCCCAAGACATCAGGGTTTGGCTTTTTTCTTAACCGTTTGAACACTTGTGGAACTTTGAAAACCAACCCCTGCTTGGGCCCCTTGGCAGTCTGGCTCAGTGAGCCCGGCATGGGGCCTGGCATCTGAATTTTCAGAGCATCGTTGGTGGTTTTGCTCAGCCCTGAGGGACAGTCCCCGCACCAGGGCGGTTGCCCCATGGGGACCATGCTGCCCAGCCCAGGGCTGGCTGGAGCAGGAGCTGAGGGAACTGTGGGCGATGGATGGATGGATGGATCACAGACCAGTTGAAGGTACAGGAAGCAGGGTTCAGGGACGCAGGGGTCTGAGGCTCAGAAATGTGTCATTTTTCCCTAAGAAGGTTTAACTCTCCTTAGGAGGAAAATGTTAAAGCACTGCTTTTTTTTCAATGACACGGTTGCTCTGCACCAGCCCAAACTGTATAATAAACAAACGGAATGTATGAACACACACTGGCTTTTCTCAAGTTAATGCCACATTGCATTTCCAGCCACGAGAAAGCACGTGGGTCTGGTGGAAAGAGCGATCCGGCCCCTGAGAGCCGGGCTCCAACAGCTGGATGGGCCCCTAGTCACTGGGTAAACCGGGTTAACTGTGGCCCAGGTGAGGCGTGTCCTAGCCAAGGCCACAGGATGGTTTGTGGAGCAAGCAGGCCTAGGACCTAGACCCTGACCCGCTGACCTCAGGATCTCTTTTTAAGTTAAATGACTTGTCCCGGGTCACACCGCTAGGAAAGGGCAGGGCCAGGGTGGGAACCCAATTCTGTCTGACTCTAGGGTCCACATAGAGAGTAGGAGGCAGGAAGGGTGGTCAATGGTGAAGGGGGATGAAGTGCCTAACAAGAGTCCTGTGCTTTACTTTGTAATAAAACTGGAAAGAAGGGTAGGGGGCATCCTGCGCTTCCTCCATTAACTTATTTAGCCATCACGTAACTGACTATTTTCTCATCGGTCTCCCTCACAGCCTGTGAGCTCCTCAGGGACCGAACCTCCTTCATCTCTGTAGCCGCAGCGCCCAGTACAGGGCCAAGTGCCCAGAAAGCACAATGCATGATTGTTGAATGGTTTCATTAATTCACTTGACAAGTATTAAGGAGGACCTACTGTGTGCAATAAGTGCTGTGTGGAAAATACAGGGAGGAAGATCTCTATGGGGGAGGGAGTGTTGGACTTATAGGTGAGATATTAAAGCCATGAGGACAGATTAGAAAAAGCCGAAGAAATGGCAACATTTAGAGGTCGAGTAGAAGGAGAGAAACTGGGA